ATTATACTGAAATTACATTGTATTTCAATTACATTGTATTTTAATTACGTTATATCTTATATAATCATATCGTATTTCAATTACGTTTTATTTAAATTATATTGTACTTCAATTACATTATATTACCATTACATTATAACGAAATTATATTGTATTTCAATTACGTATTTATTTGTGTGTGTGTGTATATTATTCAACTGTATCTCAATTATGCCGTATTTCAATCACATTATATTTCAATTGCGTTTTATTTAAATTACATTGTACTTCAATTACATTGTACTTCAATTACATTATATTTCCATTATATTATGAAATTAAATTGTATATCACTTACACTGTACTTCAATGTACATAATATTTTAATTAGATTATATTTCAAATACATCGTATTCCAATTCCACCGTATTTCAGTTACATCTTACTCCAATTACATTCTATTAAAATTACACTCGTGATTAAAGCAATTAGCAATTGAATGAACCGAAAGCTTCGAATTACGTAATTGAATTACAATGTACTTGAATTAACACAACTCTGTCATCGATTTTTTTCCTCGAATTTGTTATCTATGCTTCTCTAAGGAGAAGCTGCAAATACTTCCTAGTTAAAACAATCAAATTAAAATGAAAACTGCAACCGCGCACGCGAAGATCCACTGTACACACAGTTGTTACGTGGAGCTATTACCATCGTTCTGTAAAGGATATAAGATTTCCCCCCGATTCGTTCACGTGCCCGTGGCTCGTCATTGTCGACGTCCTCGTCGACGACTCGTTCCCTTTTTACCGGCCGTAATATTAGTGTCCACCGCTGCCGGGGATTATTTATTATACGGTCGTTTTTGCGCGAACGACATGCTTGCAGCTCGGCGAACGACGGTTTCTTTCTTCGGCCGGGGACATATTCGTTGTAACGACGCGAGACGCCGGCCCGTCGTCGTCGTTTCCCCGTTTCCCGCTCGACATATTGCTTTTCACTTTTATTCCGAGCCGCGGGGCTGGCCAGGCTTGACCGGGCCAATTAATTCGCTCGCGAACTCGTTACCCGCCGCTTTGAACACAACCACGCGCCTATATTTTCCGCCGAATTTTTCGCCGGCACGTGCGTCCCCGTGATCGCCGACTCTCCGGAAATCGTTTGCGAACCGGGGCCGATCCCACTTTGAAGTAACGCGCGACGCGTGTTACGCTTTGCCAACGCCGATTTTATTATTCCACGGGTAAAATCGAAGTTAACGGGGGGGATTTCTCTGGCAAACGCGATGTTTGGAAATTCAACGGAAATACAATACCGCGTCGGCGCACGCTTTTGTTGTATTTGTCGTAATTGTTTTGGTATTTGGAATTTTTCGGACACGCGTATCCCAAAAATTCCAGCACGATTTTATTCGAGAAATTGTTTACTGGAATTCATTCGATTTTATCGAAGGTCGAATTAAAGATTCCATGAAAATGCGGTGGCTGAAATAATGGAAATAGATACGTTGCAAACCTATGAGGCATTTTAGCAAGAACATTTTGCAGTATGCAATCGTTATATTAAACAATACGCAACCGTTAATGAATTAGAAAATGGTATCATGGTGGCATGGTCTCTCAAATCGCATCGGAGACGCTGCAGAAATGAATAAACTCAAAATGTCGTAGAGGTATTAAATATTAAGTTTTCTTCGTAATCAATGTATTCGTCTTGAAACCAAACTTTTTCTTGAAATTTACGAATTTTTGTAATATTAATATGATAACGATATTAGTAAAAATTATATTATTTAAATAATTATGTGTTTCATTAATTGTAAACGTGTTTCGTAACGAATCACCTGTCAATAACAAAAACAGAAATGTTACGTAAAATGTGCTAAAAGAATGTGATAATCTTACCATGACTTTGATCAC